ACACTACCTCACGCACCAGGCAAGCCTCCGATAATCTTCTTGACTATCAACCCATCCCTCAACAGCTAAAATTTCGTTTGAGTAACATCAAAGGAATCATCTCTATCACCCTCACTGCCGACAACTACTCGATATGGAATTCACAAGTTTTTAAAAATATTTAAAGCCAACAAACTCGAAGGCTTTCTTGATGGCACCTATACTTGCCCGTCACCTAAAACCCCACCTTCTACTACCCCCATTTCTTATCAAACATGGACACTTCTTGATCAAAACATGGATGCCGCACTCTATTCCATGATCTCGCCTAGCATTCTTCATTATGTTCTCTCCTTAGACCACTACTCTGGCATTTGGAAAACCATCTCTCGTTGTCTTCAATCTTCTACCCATTCTCGCAACATTCAGCTCTGAAATGAATTATGTCACCTCTCAATGAAGAATCAGAACATGTCTCAACATCTTCTTGCAATCAAATCTAAAGTTGACGCTATAGCCGCCACCGACAGTCCGCTTGATCTAGAAGATGTCATCCTCTACGCCCTTAACGACCTTCCACCTCAATACCAGGCTTTCAAAACTACCATTCTCACGAATCTTCAACCAATCAGCTTGGAGGATCTATACACCATCTTATGCAGTGAAGAGCAAAATCTTGCTCAAGAAACCACAAAGAACTGCATAATCTACATATTTTTGAACCCGCAATGGCTCTCGCCGCTCATCACGGTCACGGGCTTGGTTGCAACAGCGCTAATCGCGTCGCTCATCACTTCCCAATCGTTCCACTCAGACAAATCCGCCTACTCCTCCACTACATGCCAAATTTGCTTCAAAACAGGTCATTCGGCTTTGAAATGCTGGCATTGTCACGATCCCAATTACACAGACGAACCACACAACACGGCCCTCTTCACCCCATCCGATCGAGTTCATCGCCTCCACGAGCTAGTTCATTGATAGTTGCGCCACGAGCTACATTACTTCTGATTCCTCCTAACTCCAATCTATCAAACCTTACATCGGATCTTAGCAAATAACTCTAGGTAACGATCACCAACTCCCAATACAAAACTTAGGAAAATGTATTCTTCCTACCCCATCAGGTAATTTACGCCTTCATCATCTCCTTCACGTTCCTAATCTTTCTTTTAACCTTATCTCTATTAATCAGTTAAATACTGACAATAATTGCATTGTCAAATTTTTCGTTAATGACTTTCAAATCCAGGACTTGACGACGGGACGCTTCTGTTCAAGGGTCCTTGTCTTGATGGATTATACCCCATCCGTTCGACCACTCCATCCTACAATCTTGCTCTCTTCTTGGCTTAAGAAGTGCCACATCTATGGAACAAACTTCTAGGACATCCAACCTCTCCTACCTTTGAATAATAATATATTTTAAATAATTTGAGATGTTATTTATGTAAAAAATCCCCTTTTTTAATATGAGAGAGAGAGAGAGAGAGAGAGAGAGAGAGAATTTATAAAAAAAGTAAATATAAATGATGGGCTCTTTGGTCTTTAATATGAACATGAAAACATCGGCTGTGGAGTTGTTGGAAGAATAAGATCTGTGAGTGAGTTTTAGGCTGAGTCATCTGGTCGCATCATGCTGGCTGGTTAATTTTGATAACGACCGTTGAGGATGCCAACTGGGCAACTGTATGCTATATGTACAATCGAAATTGAATACGAAAAATCTAGCCGTTATATTAGCAAAATATAACTCAAAAGTTTACCTGACAAAACATCATCCTTAAAAACATTATAATCTATGAAGCAAAAAGTTTTCCTCTTTAAAGGGGAAAAAAAAAACTATATAATACCTCAGCTCAAACAGAAGATTTGGCTCCAAACAATTAGAAAAAATTAGTCTCAAAATCAAATTTTTTTAAGCTAAACTTAAATTTAAAGTATAGAATACTGGTTTGACCTCTTTTAGCTATAACAAAGAATGTTAATAATGAGGACGGTGGCCATGGCCAATACATGATCATCGGATGATGACGATCTAATAATGATGATTGATGACGAAGATTAAATGATGGGGGCTAGACAACGACATTCAAATAATGATTATCTTATAACGATCATTGAAGGACAACTATTGGTTGACATTTGTCACACGGTGATAGTCGGGAGTCAACAATCAGGCGAAGTGGTGAGGAATGACTATCAAGCGCGCAATGGTGGTAAAGTGATTTCGGTCAGACAACTTCGATTAGACAATGACGGTCACATGATAACAATAATGTGATGTCAGTTGGACAATGACAATCATGGAATAATGATAAGCTAATATTGATCACACAAAAGATAGTTAGATGAGATGCATCGAGCGATAGCTTTTGATAGCAATGATCGTTGAACCATTCTTGCCCATTTAAGTTCTTTAATGATAATGAAAATGAAATTGAGTACTTTTGGACATGATGTTAGCTATAGCGCATAAAATATAAAGATCGTTTGGTCTATTATAAATAGACATGAATTTTAAATTGCATTTCAAGTATTTGATTTGGACTCATTTAAATTTATTTTAGAATATTTTAAATGTGCTTGATCCCATATAGTCAAAATATTTGTTTGGGCTATAGATTTATTAAAATAAAACTTCACATGATTCTGCAGTAAAAAAAATAAAATAAAATCATCAAAATCTACACCTAATTGATGAATTTTCTATCGGTCCTCAAGAGATTAACCAATGGATGGAGTGAACTTCACTCCACAACGTATGCAATTTCATAACCATAACATTGGTAAGCTTAGGACGCAAGCGTTCGATGCAATCAAAGCAGAAAATATATTGTAGTCATGCATAAAATTTTAGCATTAGTGGGTGCGAAAACACAGAACAAAGAAGCTCTCGGCATTTTGGGACAAAAGAAATAAAAGTCATAGAAACCACTTTATGTCATGCTATTTAGAGCATCTTCAACCGAACGCGAAATGAGCGTATGACGGCGTTTGATCGCTCCAGCCGAACCCCAAATTTTCCACCATTAATGTTCACCTACGCTATTTTACTCTCTCAACCGAAAAAACGTGCAAAAGGGAGAAGGATCGTTACCTTCACAAAAGCACATAAAATGGCGTTCAATTGGAGCAGCACCACGGCATTTTGGAGTTTTGCTGTTTTTTAACATGAAAAATAGAGTTATCCGTTGGAGATGCCTTTATATATCATCTGAAATATTAATATTATATATCTATTACTCATAAATAACTTTAATATCAAATATACCACTCATATATTTCATTCCTACCACTCATACCACCCTATAAACTTTAATATTTCATTCCATGCACCCATATTTGTTATATGGGTGGCATGTAATAATAATATTTTGAGTGTTAGATTTATGATCACTAATGATCCTGACACCACCCAGCATACCAAAAAGGTTTATTCTATCCTCTCTTGCTGTAGCATTTACTATATCTGGAAAGAGAGAAACTCGAGAAGATTTGCTAACATATTTAACAGCAGTTCCACTACTGCTCTCTGCATTAAAAAAGCTGTAAATCTTAAGATTAGTATGTGGAATGACAAATCTCAGTCCAATGCATAGTTGCTGTCTTTGCTGGGCGTCCATTTCTTGCTCCTGCAGGTTTATGTTCTGGCTCAAATTTTGGTTATTTTGCTTTGCTGGAGGCTGCTCTGATGTTGGGGCCATATCATGTGACTGCTGTTTGCCTGCCGTGCCAATTTATCAATACCTGGTCAATGATGAAGCTCCTAAGCAGGCCCCTTAGGATGGTCCTCGGGCAACCAAGGGGTTTTTTCGATAGATTTTCTCTTATTTCTGAGCCCAGGTGTTTTCGATTATTAGGAGCTTTTATTTTTTGAGCCTTTGATATGTAGCTATTTTGTTTATCTCTTATGCTTGATCTGATTCGGGCTTCCTTTTTGTGCTCGGATGAGCAGTCCCTTTTTTGTCTGTAGGGACCTTTTGTAATCCTCGGTTGTAACTAAACTCTATATTTAGTGGCTTAATATACGGGCAAAGCCCAAATTCTCCCAAAAAAAAAAAAAATTAAAATAATTTACTTTATTTTAATAATAAAAAATACTTAAAAAAAAAAACAAAAATATAAAATAATGACGAAGAGATTCTAAAGGATAGAGAGGGAAAGAAAAGCTAGAACCCAAGCAGTGGAAGAGTAACCAAAATAAAAAACATAACGCATCGACTTGATTTGAAAGAGGGCAGAGGGGAAGGTGTTGCTGGATCAAACAGACGATATGACACTTCATGCAAGATTTATTAAGTCGCATGAAAAGTTTAACTTAAAAAAAAAAAGTCTAAAATTTGAAAATATTTAAAATTGAATTACTGGGGGATGCCCTAGCCGACAGCTTCCTCCTGCTGCTTTACAGACGATATGACACTTCATGCAAGATTTATTAAGTCGCATGAAAAGTTTAACTGAAAAAAAAAAGTCTAAAATTTGAAAATATTTAAAATAATTTACTTTATTTTAATAATAAAAAACACTTAAAATATATAAAATAATGACAAAGAGATTCTAAAGGATAGAGAGGGAAAGAAAAGTTAGAACCCAAGCAGTGGAAAGTTAGAACCCAAGCAGTGGAAGAGTAACCAAAATAAAAAACATAACGCATCGACCTGGTCAACACTGATCCATTGACTGGTTTACAACATCATATTTCGAGTGCTTTGTAGCCTCGATCTGTCCTGTACTCTTTATCATCGTCGGGTGTTTTATGGGTGCTAATGGGCTTGGTGAGAAAACATTGAATGCTTTCCCCAGGATTTACTCCTGTTCTTTCCCTTTTCCGTAATTTCGACTTCTGGATGCCTAGTGCATCCCGTGTTACGTAGGTAATTTCACCACCGTCTACTGAAGTACGTTTAAGGTCACATTAAGCTACTGCTCACAATAATGCAGTGCTTATGCTCCGATATCTGAAAGTTATGGTTACCTACGGTGACGGCACTAATAAGGAATTATATCAGTCTCGCGCTCGCGCTCTCGCCGAGTAGAGCTCTGACTCACGGACTGCTGGATCGCAGTCTGGTTCGTTTAAAGTGACCAAAACAAGAAGCCGACACTCTTTTTGCGTTAGAAGCTCGCGGCCGTGCCTCAATGGCGGAAATCCTTCATGCCGGAGATACGATCTGCTTCCTTCCGGCGTAGAAACTTCAGTCTCCTGAGTCTTTCTCTGTGAAATCACCGCCGGTGTTTTCCCCAACATTATTCTCCTGGGCTTTTAGAAGGAACCGGCTCATCTGCGATTTTATTGGTCGGTGACAATGGCGGAGGTGGCAGAAGGGAAGGTGGTGGGGGAGGCCGAGAAAAAGAAGCAGGAGCAGAGCTTGGCTTACTATGAGCTATTCTCTTTCGCCGACCGATTCGACGCGCTGCTGATGGCGGCCGGAAGTCTCGGCGCAGTGGTGCATGGCTCCGCCATGCCAGTATTTTTCCTCCTATTTGGAGATCTGGTAAATGGATTTGGAAAGAATCAGACTAATCTCAGCAAAATGACCGCAGAGGTTTCCAAGGTATGTCCCCCGTCCTTGGTGCCCGGATCTCCGCTCCATTTACACCGCTGCATTTCTGAATATTTCTCCTATGCTGCGCTACTCACATTCTTCCTTCTTTGATCTTCTAGTACGCTCTCTATTTCGTCTATCTCGGGCTGGTTGTGTGCGTTTCTTCGTATGCAGGTAAGTGTCGATCTTCTCCGTCTTTTCTCCCCATAAGTTTTGTTCTAATTGATTGGGTTCATGAGAACGGAGGTAGGTCGAGGAAGACCAGAAGAGCCGGGTCCTCCATCACCTCCCTTCTCCGTTGTCTTTTCCTCGTTTGCCCCATGGTTTCTACTGCCGTCGCTTTCGCCTTGTGCTTTGGCCTTTTTGTTATTTTTTCCTCTTTGCGGTATTCGCACCAGATTCTCGCCTGATGGACGCTGCTGTTCCCGTTCCGTTACTTCCCTGTCTCGGATAATCTTCGGGTGAGCTTACCGTTTATTTCCCTCAATGCCGCAGAGATCGCGTGCTGGATGTATACCGGTGAGAGGCAATCCGGGGCGCTGAGGAGAAAGTACTTGGAGGCTGTGCTGAAGCAGGATGTAGGGTTTTTTGACACTGACGCTCGGACGGGAGACATCGTCTTCAGCGTCTCCACGGATACACTCCTCGTTCAGGACGCCATTAGCGAGAAGGTAAGCTCACTCCACCATGGTGTTGGAACTAAGTAATTAGATTTTCTTTTGAAGAAAAAAAAAACATGAATGTATTTTTGACTTATCGTGGACTGCCAGGTGGGCAATTTCATCCATTATTTGTCGACCTTCCTTGCTGGCCTTGTAGTAGGCTTCATATCGGCATGGCGGTTGGCTCTGCTAAGCGTGGCGGTGATACCTGGGATTGCCTTCGCTGGTGGGCTTTATGCCTATACCCTAACCGGGCTTACGTCAAAGAGCCGAGAGTCGTATGCGAGTGCCGGGATCATCGCAGAGCAGGCATTGCACTCAAAACTTTTCCCGCATTTTCAAGTAGTCTTACGCTGTTTTGATTAACATTTTTTCAACATTTGGATGGTAGAATGATTTTAGTATTTTTTAATAGTTTTTAGCACGAGGTAATTGGTTTTGCCTGTTGTAATTGCACTGAGTTGAGTCTATTCTTTTTTTTCCTTTTCAGTTGGTGTGGTAGAAAGTAAAACGGTAAAAATGATGTTTTCATGAGCTTGAGATTTCGTATAGCTATTTAAAATGTGGATTCTCTACTTCAACCTGGTGGGTAATGGTATGCATTGTCGATTAGCCTAAGATTTTATTTTTTTAATATGTTTGGTCTAAAATTGCTAAATATAATGAGAATAGGCATCTAAACAATTGCTTTATATGAAGGCTAAATATTTTTTATGGGTTGTTTGTAGATTTGAATGGTATGGAAAATTACTTCAAATTTTTATGCAAATTAAACCTTCATTAGTGACTGGAAAGCAAGGGTGGAATCAATCTTAGCTTTTAGGGTGGACAAACTAATAAAAATAAAAACTAAAAACTATATGACAAAATTCATAAAGAATTCTTAGATTGTATTATAATTGATAAATTAAAAAAAATACAAGTGATGCATTTTTTTGATAATTTTACATTACAATTTCGTTTGGAATAATTTCAAATATTTTTTTTCTTAATATATGATATTAGACAATCTCTGAGCTATTCATCACTTATTTTATTACGTAATCGATATTTGACAATTTTCACTACAGTAGTGATGACTAACAAAGTTAATGTCAAAACAATAAGTTTGTAAACTCGGGGATACACCTTTTTTAACCATAATAATTTATTTGCAAGATTAACAATACTTCCCAAAGATGAGAACTTCTCGCTTGTACACATCAAGAATGTATGTGGATCGTTGGTGTTTAAGAACCACATGTGAATTGTTGCCACATGTCAATTGTTGAAAAATCTGTTGAATATTACTCTGTAAGGCGAATAAATCCCCTTATCATAAACAAAAAATGAGTTACTTAGGTTTAAACACGAAACACTGAGAAATACTCAGTACTAGCTTAAGAGAATCGATTATTTAGCTTTTGAAGTTGCATATTAGCAACTATGTAAAAGAAATCAACACGATCATGATGCAAATTTTTTATTTTCTAATTTTTTTGCATTGATCGTCTGTGAGCCTTGAATGTAGAATTCATATTGGAAATATCAATTTAAAAAATATTGCAAAAACGTGCTAATTCATCCAGTAAAGAAGCTCATTCATTCTTCCACATTATATGTAATCATTGCTTGGAGACTTGCACCGATTTCATTTCATTCGTGATATCTTGTTATTTTCTCTATAAGATTGTGATAAATTTGCAATAACTAAAGTGTCAATCATTTAATGCATTGCAATGATAATTATTTCTCCGTATAAACATCCCGAGATTCATCATCTATAATTGAGAATTGGAGTCTCCAATATATTTCGTGATAGATGTTAAGGTTTCAGTTATTGCAGCATAATGAATTTATTTTTAGACATTTGATGAAGTTAACTTTAAATTTGGGCTTATGCAATTTTTAATTTTTTTTCATTATAATTAATAAGAAAATCGAATAGCTCCAAATAATTTTCTCGATTATTTGATCCAGATGACTTGTCTTGCCCATAGAATAATAATCCTTGATGTAAGAGAAATTGAACATAATCAACTGCTGTAGTCAAGATGATCCTATTTTTTTTTTCTCATCTTTATTCATTTGTAAAGTAGGAAGATTGTATCTTGATTCTTCATTAAATCTTTACATTTTTCTATGACCTTATTATTTACAATATTATACTCTCTAATGTGATATAATAGTTTTCTTTCCTCTTCCAATTTCATCTGAAAACTTATTTGGTCTACACGGGATTGACTCAGGCGGAACAGAGGCGGAAGAGTCCGCTCCTATACGCCTATCCGACCGCCCAGGCACCGTAGAGTTGTTTAGCGAAGGTTTTTGAAGGGAGTTAGGTGGGAAATTTAAATGGAGGGACTGTTTAGAGATTTCCTTTTGGATTGTATGCATTTTTTTATTTTATTTATTTTTTTTATTTTTTATTTATTTATTTATTTTTTTTTTTTTGGATTGTATGCATTAAATCGTTTGTTTCCTAGGATTTGGGCATCTTGAATTTGACTGAAATTTGAGATCTCTTTGGGTTTTTGGGCTCTAGCGGCGTCTAGAGATTTGGGAGAGATAGACCCTCCTCTCGAATAGAGGATCAATTGTATTTTGCTCTTTTTCTTCCGTTAGTTGGATTATTGCAATAAAATCTACTGTTTTCTAATTTTTTCCATTGGTTTTGTGGATTGTTCTTGCTGTTTTTGTCTCTATTGTCAAAGTTTACTTGAGGTATTCAAGTATTTCCTAACAGTATTATATGTGGAAAACGGACTTTTGTTTTATAAAGATAGGATATTCCCCCAAAGTAGCTGCTGTGTGTAAGTTGCTTTCAGACGCATACCATTTTAGATATGCTCACGGAAATTATCAAAAGATCACACCAATTACTTAATTATCAAATAATTTTATCTATCAATTCTTTACTCATTAATGTAATGCATACACTATACCTATTTGTGCGTATTGACAATATTATGAAATATGTAGAACATTAAATAATGCCATGAACGTTTTTCTGTTGTGTTGGAATTATGGTTTTTCAGTACCCTCATTGTGTTGCCGTTGTGGGATTGTGATTTCTGATATGAACATGTGAAATATCAGTTATATATATATATTTTTTTTTTCTGATGGTTCACAGGCAATTGCTCAAGTGAGGACTGTATACTCATTTGCTGGGGAGAGTAAGACCCTAAATGCTTACTCTGAAGCAATACAGTATACACTTAAGCTGGGATATAAGGCAGGGATGGCAAAAGGCTTAGGAATTGGGTGCACGTTTGGGATTGCATGTATGTCATGGGCACTAGTGTTTTGGTATGCCGGTGTCTTTATCCGGAATGGACAGACTGATGGAGGAAAGGCTTTTACAGCAATATTTTCTGCAATCGTTGGTGGAATGTATGTACTTTATGTTCTTATTATTGTACTTTTTTTGCACTTCCAATACTTTCCTTTGTTACATATTTAGTATGCTTTTTCTCACCATTCTTCAATACATGTTCACTTGGGGAGCAATTTAATACTGTGTATCTACTGTAACGTCGTAATCTTTTTTTAAATTTTATTTCGGACGATATTTGTTACATGCTTGTTTTGGTTGGCTGATTTAATACGCACATATAAATCATTAAACTAATGCTCTACTTATGAAAGGCTATTGTTTGATGCATTGCGTTGATGTTTTCTCTATCTACTTCAATGAATCCTTTATTGTTCTTCTTTTTCACATTTTTATTAAATTAAACAGTAAACATGTTTGTAGCTTTATCTTCTGCCCATCATTTTCATGAGGGATACTCGTGCCTATACAGGAGCTTGGGTCAGTCATTTTCAAACCTTGGAGCATTTAGTAAAGGGAAGGCTGCTGGCTACAAACTTCTGGAGATAATTCGGCAGAAGCCTTCTATCATTCAAGATCTAGCTGATGGCAAATATTTGGATGAGGTTCATGGAAATATAGAATTTAAAGACGTCACATTCAGTTATCCATCAAGGCCTGATGTTATCATCTTCAGGGATTTTTCTCTTTTCTTCCCTGCTGGGAGGACGGTTGCTATTGTTGGAGGTAGTGGCTCTGGTAAGAGTACAGTTGTTTCTTTGATCGAAAGGTTCTATGATCCCAACCAAGGTGATATGATATTCCCTTCATGTAAAAAAAAAATTCTAGATCTGCTGCTGTATCTGATCATTAATATTAATTTCTTCATGTTGTTTCCATTGCAGGGCAAGTTTTGCTTGACAATGTGGACATTAGAACATTGCAATTGAGATGGCTTAGGGACCAAATTGGTTTGGTCAATCAAGAACCTGCATTATTTGCAACTACTATACTGGAAAACATACTCTATGGGAAATCTGATGCAACAATTGTTGAAGTTGAACAAGCTGCAACTGCAGCAAACGCTCATAGTTTTATTGCACTGCTTCCAAACGGTTACAATACCCAGGTTAGTGTAATTGTATTACATATGTATAACACCTTAATTTCTCTTACAACCGATTAAGAGCTTGGACCCTATCTGTACACGAATCTGTCTCGCTTTTATTTGTTTTAGCTAAAAGAGCAGCACATATACAGAAATTTATCTGTTAGTAGGTTTCACAGCTTTATTGTGGTTAAAGCATTTTTAATCAATTATCAGAAAATTATACTAGATGAATTTCATGTAACCATAGCTAGTGCTTTAGATGAATGCTCGGCTATTTAATTACTAATGGCATCCTTCAAGTTGTAAAAGAAAAAAATCTGCTCATGTTTATGCACACTTGATCTGGTGCTGATCCTAAATGGTGGTCCAGAATTTTCTGCATTCAAAGCGTTACTTAATAATTGATAATTCAGCAAAGGAATTTTTAATAGACATGCCATCAACAAGCATTTTCATAGTATTGTGACTTGAGTTGAATATTTTTGTTTTTGACTTTTTTCTATATGATCCAAAGCAAAGTAAACTCTTTACTTGTTTTAACGGTCTATGATCAAAACTTAGGTTGGAGAAAGGGGAGTTCAGTTATCTGGTGGCCAGAAACAGAGAATTGCTATTGCACGTGCTATGTTAAAGAATCCCAAGATTCTCCTTCTTGATGAAGCCACGAGTGCCCTAGATTCTGGCTCTGAGAGTATCGTCCAAGAAGCACTGGACCGCCTCATGGTTGGAAGAACTACGGTGGTTGTCGCACACCGACTTTCAACCATAAGAAATGTTGATACAATAGCTGTCATCCAACAAGGGCAAGTTGTTGAAACTGGAACACATGAAGAATTGATTGCTAAGGGAAACACTGGAGCTTATACCTCTTTAATTCGGTTTCAAGAAATGGCAAGGAACAGGGACTTTGGTGCTCCATCCACTCGTAGATCTCGCTCATCACGTCTGAGCCATTCTCTCTCTACAAAGTCTCTCAGTCTGCGCTCTGGAAGTCTGAGGAACTTGAGCTATCAGTACAGCAGCGGAGCTGATGGCCGTATAGAGATGGTTTCTAATGCAGACAATGATCGCAAGTATCCTGCTCCTGATGGCTATTTCTTCAAACTTCTAAAATTAAATGCCCCTGAATGGCCTTATGCCATCTTGGGAGCTGTTGGTTCAATACTCTCTGGGTTCATAGGTCCAACTTTTGCATTAGTGATGAGCAATATGATAGAGGTGTTCTATTATCCTGATCCAAACACAATGGAGAGGAAGACGAGGGAGTATGTTTTTATATATATTGGAGCAGGACTTTATGCAGTTGTTGCATATCTGATTCAGCATTACTTCTTTAGTATCATGGGGGAAAACCTCACCACTAGGGTCAGGAGAATGATGCTTGCTGGTAAGTGGTAATAACCCTTTACCTTCATTTCTTCAACCTTTACTTTTTAAGATTTGTAAGGCTGAACCATAGTATTGTGAATGCAGCTATCCTAAGAAATGAAGTTGGATGGTTTGATGAGGAGGAGAACAATTCCAGCCTTGTTGCTGCCCGTTTGGCTACTGATGCTGCTGACGTGAAGTCTGCAATTGCAGAGAGGATTTCAGTGATACTTCAAAACATGACCTCACTCCTCACGTCCTTCATTATCGGATTCATTGTTGAATGGAGAGTGGCACTCCTCATTCTTGCTACCTTCCCTCTTATTGTCCTTGCAAACTTTGCACAGGTACCAAATTCTTATATCTCTAATCCTTTTTTCAATAATTTCAGCACGAGACAAATTTTTTGGAATAATGTCTTTTTGCCATTAGCATTTTAATTTAATTGTTCACTCTAGCGATTCTAATTTCCAGGAAGTAAAACCACAAAAAAAATAAGCTTGTTAAGTGGGAAAAAGGACTGAAACTTTATTATGAATCGATTTAGTTTTAGGTTATTTTGTTCCTGTAGGTTATCAAGTCATTGTAAATCTCTATTAATAAGGTCATATGTAATGTATCAATTGGGAAAAATTTGAATAAAGCTTTAGGATAGATTTTCCTTCTAAATTCTGTCTCTCTCCCTCTCTCTTTCTTGCAAGAAGAGCTCAAGAAGCTTTTAAGAACTCCTAATTTTCTTCCTAACACCATCACTGTGGGTATATCTGTAGTGCGGCTGTTTTCTTGTGCCTATCAGGCTGCCATAGGTAGCTTAGTCTTATCCTGTCAAACTCTTCTCCTTGTCCCGTTTACTTTATTTGCTCTTTGCTATTGGTTTTTTTTTTTCCTTTTGAAATGGTGAGACATAAATCTCAAAGCATGTGGCTTGAACCTGATCCCTTCACGTGCTTTTGGTTTTAGACTTGCATTCCTTTGGCGTTCTTGGGACTTAGTAGCAGCTGTTCCAGTACCGTAAATAATAAAATGTGGAGGCCCACACCCACAGTTCTAGTATTCTGTCTTCTAGTAATATTTGTGCTCTCTTGTAGAAATCTTGAGTTTGAAAAGCATGAGAGCAAGTAAAAGTGTGAGTGCAAGTGAAGAGTCCAAATGCAACAGTTCTGTCGATCCTGTGGCCGCTGCCTGACTGAGAAAAGGTCACATGCTGGCTCAGGGGTTCTTTTTACTCGTGACTCTCTTTGCACTAACTTTTAGAAAAATCACTGTATCCTTTTAATTATTTACTTTTGTCTGTTTTTGTCTGTACTGTGAACAGTTTTGTGTACCCCTGCTTTATTAAAGTGCCGACTTTCACTTAATTAAACACTTAAATGCCTACTAAGAAACTATACTTTACACTAACACCTTGAAGTACTCATCTTTGCAGGATTTTAGCTTGGGCCCGGTATGAATTTTTGTATTGTATTTTTTGGATTAGTGATTCTATACTTCACTCGCTAGATTATGCTATCCAGATTGGTAAAACTAATTTTCCTAATCCAATCTAATCATAATCAATCCAGCCTTGAAGAATAGGATTATGTTGATATATTTTACGTCTCAGTTTTGACATCATTTTTCATGCTATAGAGGGATCATTACGCTTATCAGAAAGCGATTGTTCTTTTTTTTGACAAAATCCATCGGGATCATCTAATTCATTCAATTACTAATTGTCATTTCAGTTTATGTTATCTCTGAGTGTTTAATACCTTCATACAGAATTACAGATTAAGCTTTTATTTAATAAGATTTTCATTTAAAGAGCTTGATTTGTTATGCTAATTAAAGGATAGATTGATAATTGTTTATTCTTGAGCATTGCCTTGGGATTATTACTGACTGAAGCTGGGAAAATGCTCCCATCAGCAACTTTCCTTGAAGGGTTTTGCCGGGGACACTGCGAAGGCGCATGCTAAGACGAGCATGATAGCTGGGGAAGGTGTGAGCAACATTCGTACAGTTGCAGCTTTCAACGCCCAAAGCAAGATATTATCTCTCTTCCGTCAAGAGTTACGAATTCCCCAGCGCCACAGCCTCAGTCGCAGCCAGATTTCTGGTTCTCTCTTTGGTCTTTCCCAGCTTGCCCTCTATGGCTCGGAGGCCCTCATCCTCTGGTATGGTGCACACCTTGTGCGGTCAGGAGCTTCTACTTTCTCACGCATCATGAAGGTTTTTGTTGTTCTGGTTGTCACTGCCAACTCTGTTGCGGAGACTGTAAGCCTTGCTCCGGAGATAGTTCGTGGTGGGGAGTCCATTCGCTCCGTTTTCTCCATCCTAAACCGTAGCACGCGGATAGATTCTGACGACCCTGAAGCTGAGCCGGTGGATTCCATCCGTGGTGAAATTGAACTCCGACATGTCGACTTTGCCTACCCGTCCAGACCAGAGATCCCCATCTTCAAAGACCTTAACATCCGTATTCGTGCCGGACAAAGTCAGGCTCTTGTTGGTGCGAGCGGTTCTGGCAAGAGCTCTGTCATTGCACTCATTGAACGATTTTATGACCCTACAGCGGGGAAGGTCATGATTGATGGCAAGGACATCCGTCGCTTAAATCTCAAGTCCCTTCGTCTGAAGATTGGACTTGTGCAACAAGAGCCTGTGCTGTTTGCTGGAACCATCTTTGACAACATAGCATATGGAAAGGACATCACAACCGAGGAAGAAGTTATAGATGCTGCACGGGCAGCAAATGTTCATGGTTTTGTTAGTGAGCTTCCGGATGGGTACAAGACGCCTGTTGGTGAGAGGGGCGTGCAACTCTCTGGAGGGCAGAAGCAGAGGATTGCAATCGCAAGAGCAGTGCTGAAGGACCCAGCCGTGTTGCTGCTGGATGAGGCAACAAGTGCTTTGGATGCGGAATCTGAATGCGTGTTGCAGGAAGCTTTGGACAGGTTGATGAGGGGGCGCACGACGGTGCTGGTAGCTCACCGGCTGTCGACAATCCGGGGAGTCGACTGCATTGGGGTGGTGCAGGAAGGGCGAATCATTGAGATTGGGAGCCATGCGGAGCTTGTGGCAAGGCCAGAAGGGGCGTACTCCCGGCTCCTGCAGCTGCAGAACCATCGTATCTGACAAGTGTTTGAGGTTTGTCTCCATGGGTTCTGGTTTTGGATGAAACTGACCTGATTTTTTAGTTGAATATGATTAAATATGCTGTTTGGGCTTCGGAAAGATGGAAGGTGTTGCAGACAAGTTACAATCATCTGGTTATTACTTAACTGGAACAGGCTTTCTTCAAAGTCACCCACGTAATGCTTTTACAATGTATCATATAATGTATGAACTTTGGATTTGGTTCCTTTATGATGAAGCAAATGGTTTTTTTCTTTTTGAAGCTCTAGTAAATTTCCTACCATTATGATGTACATTTGAATCATTGCATTTTTAATTAGGTTGCATTCATGATTATTACTTTATATTTTTCAGAATTAAGATTGAAGCCATATGAATGTTAACATGTATACCATGGTAACATATTAGGCCTATACAATTGGAGATATTATTATGTGCGGAGATTGAACACATAGAATCGTTCAATTTGGTTTATGTGAATAATAGAGTAGTGTTGAACATTAAAAGCAAAGTGATGAACAATAGTTGCGTTTTTATTGTTTATAGAGACAATCGTACGGTTTTATATCTGCACGTGATAATCAGTTTCGTGAAAATTCAGGACATATTAGGCCTACACAAATGATAACATATTATTTTTTTTAGAGCTATGCACAAGTTAATCATCTTTTGTGGATCTCAATCTTATAAAACTCAACTATTCAACAGAGCAATCATGAGAAAAATCAAGAATAAAATCGCTAAGCACATGAGAGCACATCCTCAATAAAACTATTAAAAAATTGGTTGAGCTGTGTACTATGTTGTTTAAATTCATTTATTTAATTTCTTATAAAGATAGAACTGGGGTTTGATGATCCGAATTTTAAATTTTATCAAAATTTGTTTATTAGGTTTTTATCAAATTTTTATATTAAAATTGAGCTTAATGAAGCCTAATTAATTAAATAATTGATGTTAATAATTTAAATATATAACCAAATTACTTGATATAATAAAATGTATATATTTTAATAAATTTTGATATAACTCATTAGGTGTTTTTAAAGTTTTTTGGTAAGAAATTACTTAACTCTACCATATTTGATATTTTCATTTTACATCTAATCATATACAAATTGAAAACAGCAACATACAACAGGTCATAAAATGATAATTAAAAAAAAAAAACTATCATTAAATGAGCATTTCATGTTATTCTTATTAACAAACTATTTGTTAAATAACAGAATGTTGCGGGCTAGAATATACGCGACGATAGAGTTAGAAAGTATTCGTCTTAGCGTTGCACAGATATTCAGAACACAAACATAAGATAAAATAACACCAGGATATTTATGTGGAAAACCCTAGAAAGGGAAAAAACCACGGGGCCACGCCCAGTCGAAAAAGTTACATTAGTGTTTGTTTGAGATACAAGAGGCTGACTCGTCCGTGAAATTTATGACGATCAGATTACAATGAAACACTTCTAGATTGAAATCAAGATAAAATGTTGGGCAGAGTTCCGGCGTCACTTGAAGATCGGGCGAAATTCTGGCATCACTTGAGCATCAGGTTGAATTCTGACGTCTCTTGGGCGTTGGGAAGATTTCTGGGGTCACTTGGGCATTTGACAGTATTCCGGCGTCACTCTGGCATCCAGCGTCCCTCGGGCGTCAAACAGAATTACGTCGATGGTCGTGGAGGAGTTTCTTCCCTCATATCCTTCTCTTCTTCTTCTCTTCTTCTTGCTTCTAGTTTGGGTCCCCCCTCATGAGAAATGAGGGGTCTATTTATAGATATTCCGGAGTGACATAGCTTGTAAATAGGTTTGAGATCAGGGGTAAATAGGGAGTGGTCGAATGGACTGTTGATATTGAATCCTTTGATCGTGCACCGTTCGTGAGCCATTTGAAGGTCTTAATGATCTTGGAATTCGGCGATCTTGTGCTCATTGGATTCGTCTCGTCGAGCCGCTCAATTCGACTATAAGAACGTCATATTTGGAAACCATTTGATAACTCGAATTATGATTTGAACTTTTCAACAGTACTTCGGGTGCTTGATTTGGACTCATTTGGGCTCGGATTGAGTTGAATTTGGTGTTGTTGAGTTCGTATTTCCGAGATGCTCAGTTTGATTGTAAGTTCACTGAAATTGGAGTTCAAGTGATCCCGAATTTAATTTTTGAAGTTTCCGACTCGATTTTGCCTAGAGATTTGTGCCGATCAAAATAATTTTTTGAGGATATATCACAGACGATTATATTCATGAACATAAATAAACAAACTATTTGGTGCTCAAGCAATTCATTTATATGATGAATTTTTAAAATTTTATTTAATACTATTCAATTACATAACCAAACAAAATCAATAAATATTCTATGAATGAATGTCAAATTATTCATTAAATATGCTTATTTATTTATAGCTCTATTCCTTCCGAAGTTTGTATTAAAAAATTATTTTAAAAAAATCATGAAGAAATCTTCTTAAATTATCCACAAATGCAAAAAATATGGTAAGAATCTTTGCAGTAAATCTCATGGTTAGTTTCATAATTTCATTTGCCCAACTTATGATGAGCTAACTATTTTGCTGATTTGTCTTTTCTTTGGAAGTACGTACACTTATAGTAACAACACTATCCAGTGATTAATGAATGTTATGCCAGTTATAGTTGCATGTGATTGCGATTGCACATCCTAGCTAGCTTGCTTTCAAACCAATGGATCAGTGCAAGTGTGATTAGGGTTTTAGGTTTAGCCCCACTATGTCATAAATGTTGCAGTTGTTAATATATAATATTCAGCAAGTCATGTGGTTCATATCGTTTTAGCTAATAGTGTAGACTTGTTTGGTTGTAATTTTTTTTACTTTTTATTTATGTCGTAGATTGATTTTTATTGTGTCCTGCTTGAATTCAAATGAGCCCAATACGATCATTATGTCTATGAATAATTTTAAATAAGAGTTAAATATGAATGCATACAAATTTGAATGGGTTTAATACAAACATGTGGCGAGCTTGTTAAAGATTAAGAACAATAGAAAAAAGATCATTAACATTGATATGCCAAGTTTTCTGGAAAAACATGGAGGTGAAACCATCAGGCCCAGCCACTGACTCAGAATTCATAACAAAAATAATATCTTTAACTTCCTCCAATGAAGGGGTTTTAGATAAGAAAAAATTATTACAGCTAGTTTAAACTTCTAATTTTGAGAAAGTTATTCTCACAATAGCCTTATATAGTTAGATATATATCTTCGTTCTCGAATGATCCATATGTTATAGAGCTCAAACATAAATTTCTTCAAGCAGACAAAGATTAGAGTTCATATTGTTTATATTATATAAATATGAATGCATTTATCGCCCCCTCCAACGCTGGCAGCAATAGGTTATGTTAGGGGTGCAACTGAGTCTAGCTGACTTGCGAGCTGGCTTGAGTTCAACTCGTTAACGAGCTCGCGAGTTGAGCTTATGGAGTATCAAGCTCTAGTTCGAGCTGAATTTCAAGCTCTGTGTATTATCGAGCTTGAGTTCGATGCATGCCCTGTCTGGCTCTAGTGCTCATCGAGTCAGCTCGAGTTCGAGCTGCCTGCACAATTAGCGAGCCAGACTTGAACTACCTCTCCCTGGAGCTCGACTCGATTGTTTGCACCCCTAATTATGATAGTAAGAAGATGAAAAAAGAAGTTAAAAATTAATAAGATTTGAATGTCATATTTAGAGTTAAAGCCATATTTGAACTCCCTTCGGACGAATGTTTTAAGCCAATTCAACTATTAAATGCGAAACTAGATTTTGCGAAAGTTCAGAAAAGGTGCGAAGTTGCATTAAGAATTTTAAATCATGATTAAATAATGTTCAAACCCTGTGATTTATATAACACAAATACTACTAAAAACTGCATAGTTCAGGTAAACAACTTCACAATTGTGTCCATGTCTTTTTAATTTAGAAGTAATTTATGCTTTATATATAGCCATTGATGCAGCAATAAGGCATATCAAATATTCAAATCATAAGCTATTAGTAATATGCTCAACCATAATGATGTAGTGGATCGTTGGAAGACTCGACCTGCAAGAAGGATTTCGGTTTTCCCAATCCAGGGAAGAAGAAGAAGAAAGCTCTAAGGCTTCAAAGACTAATATTTCATGCAATCCAACTGATGTAGTGGATCGTCGGAAGATGCGACCTGCAAGAAGGATTTTGGTTTCTCAATCCAGGGAAGAAGAAGAAGAAGCTTTCCAAAGCTTTAACAAAGGGATAATATCATTCAATACATTTTCCTATTACAAAACTTACTATTTATAAAGCAAAAAGAGCATTCTAGAAGCTCATCCTAACAAACTAGATAAGGTGTCCAAGGGAACACCTCAAGCATAAAATGCACCGCATCACATATATGGTTGACGCTTGTCCAATCAAAGAAATAGTTGGCAGAGAATATTTTAGATGCATAAAATGACGTGCAATTACAAAATGAATCTGAATATGATGATT